TATATAATTTTTCGACTATCAAACAGTCAACAATAATCATATCGTTAAGTAGCAATTATTGATCGTAAATATAAATAAATACAGAAGATTCGGCACGGAGGAAAATCCGCAACGTACGTACGAGAGCGCGCGCACGTACGACGCAAAATTGATCGAAGGTCGTCACATGTGTGCGAGTTTAAAGGGTCGGTTTAAATACTCGATCGGAGACGACTCGGATGTGTACCGTTAATTGTTTAAGATTCATTCACACACACATATGTGTGTGTGTGTGTGTGTGTGTACGGAGCACTGACGCGCGATCACACAATCGATTTCAATCTCAGACGATTGTCCGAATCTCGCAGTTAAGTCTATTTCACGTCGTCGTCGTCGTCGTCGTCGTCGTTGCAAACGACGTAACCCGACGACGCGCCTCACAACGTGAAACGAAAACGGAAAACGCGTGTCCGGTATGCGCGCAACGCCTACGAATGTATCATATACGCGTATATATGTACATAATACGTATGTGCCGCAATGACAGGACAGTGCGTCCGCATCCTTCCGACCTTTCGGTATGTATGAGCACACGTCGATGCGTGATATGTGTGTACGTGCGTATACGTACTTTTGTATTACTAAACAAAGAGAGAATGATCTCACGTGTGAGATATGTGATCAAAAGCAAAAAAAATCAATATATTGATTCGCATCCGATTTGAATTCAATTGGAATTGCACAACGCGTGTTATATTAAATATAAATTTCACACATCTTGACAATCTGTACGATCAAGATATTAATTACAAACCAACAACTTGTTTTCCTTCTCCTTTTATCTCCGTGTTTTCTTTCTTCTCCTTTTTATTTCTATACGTGTGCGCGCACAGTCTTCGTGTTTCTCTGCATTTTTAAGAGACCTTTTATCTGAACTCCACTCGGAGCTCTGCGTATGATTCTCCCGATCTTGACGTTGGTTCGATTATTGGCAGAGATATACGCGAGCGTGTGTCCACACGAGGTTACGCACACATACATATGTATATGTATACGCGCACGCACGGAAACGTGCACACATCACGCGCGCGTGCACGTTTAACGGATATTTGTATACAAACAGAGATACGTATACGCGCGCAACACACGCGAGCGCACGCCCGTATACACATGTACATTTCGATCGGCAGACAAAAGGATCAGATGTGCACACGGATAGTGGGTGGGGTGGTAGTAGGGTGGTGAGGAAGGGAGAGGGGAAGAACGAGAAGAACGGAGACAGAGAAAAACATATACAACGCAGGTGCGCAGCGCGCGGAGCGAAGCGGCAGCGGAACCTCCTTGCGTGTTTAACGAACTTTTGTTTTTTTTTTTTTTTTTTTTTTCTACCCTCCTCTCGAAGTTTCTTGTTTGTCGAACTGCGTGTGCATCCTATGTATGTTAATTCGTAACGAGAATATACGGGTGCATTCTTATCGCGAACTGCCGTAACCGCTCCTCGAGACAAAAAAGGAAAGCGAGCACACGCTACGCGCGCCAGACACAGCTCCGGGAGAAAGAGAGAAGCGCATAATGCAGCACACGTCCATATGTGTGTGCGTGTGTGTGTGTGTGTGTATTATATATGACCGTATAGCTCTATGTGTGTATATATACAAATTGTATATTATATACATTGTGTATGTACATTATTACACAGTACGGATACCGCATAGAGAGAGAGAGAACGGTATCTCGCTGTTCACCTTGATGAGGTCCGAAATCCACGAAAATCAACGACGTCTGTCACACAAAAGCGTGACCGGTTCTAACTTTCGATTCGCAAAAGATAAATTTGAATTTTCTCTTCTTGCTATTCTCCAACAACCGATAGAGAGAACATTCTTCCTTACACAAATGCGCTATACACCGAAGAAAGTTTTCGTTTTGTTGAACTTTTTGTAGGAAACTGACATACAATACAAATGTACACAAGGGAAAGTCGAAATCAATTGTAAATAAAGTGGATGCAGCTGTAGTGTACGAAGAGACAAAAAAAAAAAAAAAAAAAACGGTCGATGATTTATTTTTGAACGTAGCGGCGTGGCGTTGATAACAACAAAAAGGTTGACAAAATGAAAAGATACCAGACTCGGGAAGAATTCAACACAACTAACATTGCTTTTAAAAGACGAAAGCGAGAAATTGAAAGAAAAAAAAGATTTTATTTCGTTAACAATGAAATCACATTCCCAAGTTCGTCTCCGTGCTCACAATTTGAAATGGCGGAGCGCACGAGAGTTCGAGCGAGTTGTGGTCAGAGCGGAACATCTGAGGAGAGCGGATAGAGCGGGGTTGGAGAGGGGGGGAATGAGAAAGAAAGACAAAGAGAGTGCAGGGAAAGCCACACGGAGAATTAAGAGTGATCAAGAGAGGCAGAGCGAGCACAGCAGTAACACAGCGAGGAAGGAGTATATGTGTGCGTGTGTATGTATAAATGTTTTATATATATGTGTGTGTGTGTGTG